TGTCTCAACAAGAGAAACGTAACTAAGACAATACATTAGATTAAACTGTGTACTTAACTATCCAAGTGGAGAAGGAAAGTATCCAAGTGGAAACAAAAGTCTTGGATTCAGAGAAAACTATCTTGGAGATATAGAATCAGGGGAACGCACATGTTGATAACATCTATATTCATAGGACTAGAAGAAATCTGAAGGCTGAGCATAGGTAGATGCGATAAGTGAGTTCAGGATGAAGAGGATGAGTGGGGAAAGAGATGAAAAAGGAATTTCCTGACCATTGATAACTGTCTCCTTTCAAAGATATGTATGAACTCATTAAACTTCCTAGTTTTTCCTAGAAAATTATTATGTTTAAGTTTAAATCATGAGTTTTAGCTCAGTGGCACAAGCACCTTCCCAGCAAGGTGAGGTTGTAAATTTGATCCCCAGTACCAAAAAAAAAAGAAAAAAGTTTAAGATTATCATTACTGCCAAGTGATGGGGATGGGAATAGTGACCTTTTTTAAGAAAATGAAGCAAAAAAGAAATATCTGGTTGTAAGAAAAAGATGAATTTGCTTTTAGAAATGTGTTGAGAAATCAGCAAAATATGTAGATGAATACTCTGAAATAGATTTTAAATGGCTGAACTAAAATTTGTGGGAAACATCGAAGTAGAGTTAGATTGTATAGTTATCTATGCAGGCATGATGATAATTGTCTTGAATGTTTGACGTTGCTTATCTATTTGTAGCTCCTGCAGACTATGGGCAAGAAGTGTAATATGAAATAAAGCTCCATAACTCTAAATAAGTTGGTCTTTATTCTATTTATAAGATGTATATAAAAGTTTATGAGAAATATTTGTGAAGGTAATTGTTTAGAATGGTTTTTTTTGTGATATTTTAAATGTGTTGAGTACAATGCCAAATAATATATTTACATAAACTGTAATCGTATGCAGAATTCTTTCACATAACTGATAAGTATCTACCGCAGAATTAGCTCTGTCTAATGATCAGGTTAGCATCCTCTGCTCACTGCACCAGTGATGAATGTTGGTTAATGGGGAGGACTCAGTGGCCTTCCAGCAATATTTTTGGAAAATGATCTTAGGCTTATTTTCCCTGAATTTTGAATATTCATGGGAAAAAGCACCATCTTCACTTGCTGAAAATTTAATTCATTATCTTAAGATAAATCACATCTGTTTTTTTACTTACTTTTTTTTCCTTCTGTCTTACCCCTTATACTATCTGGTTATGAAATAATGAAGGGCTCATCGAATATGAACAATAAGAAATTAATTAGAATCAGTCGTACTGTATGTGCTGATTCCATGTATCATCCTGGAGAAATAAAGGCACAACTAACTCTGGTGCTGTCAGCGTGGAGTAGCATATTTTGAGGCAGTTTCCAGAGAGGTGATGGGAATGGAAAGACAAGGACAGTCTTAGTCCTGGACAACCCGGTTTTGACAACATATTCTTTTTCCCTCTTCACTTCATTCTCAAGGGTTTCTATGGTTCTGTCAATCTGGTTGTTTGAAAGCTACAAGGACAATAAATGACTATTGACAATTTCTTGGTAAACTTGTGAATATGAGTGGGCCAAATGTTGCCTGGCTTGAAGTTCATACAGTGCATATTTGGGGAATTTTTTTTTTTAAAGCCAAGATACGCAATTAGATAAAATGTCTTAGAATGTATCCATGAAAGTTAGAGGTCCTGAATTGAAGTCTCATTGGCTTCTTAATCAATTTCCTTCCTTTGTTAAGAGAGCAGTGCATTTAATATTTCACGGCTAAGGGAGATATAAATCATAGCAACACTTTTCTGTTAAATGAAAATTCTGTATAAAATGTCAGTGTTTCTCATCTCTTCATAACTCCCCCATTAGAGATAAATGTCAGCTCTTCCTATTTCAGTAACACTACAACAAAAGTGGGTGTGACCAAGTGGTGAGAGTCCACTGAACCACGGCTAAGTTAGCTCTCAGTTCTCATTTGGTGGTGTGAACACTGGAAAGAGGCAAAAGTATTCCACATAGTGAAGTGGTTTCACCATACCCACGGACAGAGGTTGAAATGTGAGTTTTTTGTATCATTACCCAGAGTATACTGTAAGAAGAAAAATAAATAATTTTGGACCAGCAATTTTTCAAAGAGGAACAATCAGTAAGAAAGGCAATTTTGAAAAGAAATCAGATTTTCAAAAGCTGCTTTTCTTTTTGGAGTGAATGATCATATTACAAGGAGCTCGGTGCAACTTAAAATGGCCGAACAGAAGTAGCAAATGACAAGTGACTTTTTAAATGTTAGTTAAAAAACAAAGATGAGTCGGATTTACCTCAACAGTGGCTGGCTTGAAGTTCCATGGGGAGATGGTGACTTAGGTATGACATTGACACTTATAAAACTGTATGTATCTTAAGGTGTGAATGTTTTTGCTCTAGCAGTGTGATATTGACAAAGCATGGCAAGTTCTCCCCTGTAAATTATATACCAGATGTCTGGTAACTAGTGTTTCTAAATATAGGCAGAGTCACCTCCTGTGTAGCTTCAAAGACTGAAATAGTCAGCATTTGATTAGCATGCTGAAAGTCACAGATATTTTTTAAAACAATTTCACACCGAATAATTTATCCTAAATAGTTAAATTGAACAGTTTTATAAGTAGGAGTTTTGTTGTTTTTATCCTAATCAAAGTCTAACATAGTTGTAAAATTACTAAATAATTGTGCATGGAGATACATTTTGTTTGAGCTTAATAAAGCTTATAAAGCAGATATAAAGTACATTCATAATGATTATATAAAGACTATTTAATATTGTACATATTTGAATAGAAGATTGTCATTGCTAAATTTTGGATCGTGAAATGGAGAAAAGAGAGGGATAAGGACTTCAAAACAGAAATTGGAACCTGATTTAGTAGCTTTAGATTCTCATGTTACCAGATTAATTGCAGATAGTCTCAGAACTTGTAAGAGTAAACAAAATGGGCTTTTTGAGGAGTTAGGTAAGGAGAATTCGGCACAAAAGATTTTGCTTTCCATTGGAGGTCATGCATGTTCTATAAATTACTCCTTTCAGAGATTGATATAGGTTTATTTCTTATAAATTCTTTCAGAAAAAATGTAGCAATAAGTCTTTATTTTGGCTCTTACATGTTTGCTTTCTAAACGACAAACTCCCTCTGTCCCCACCTTTGAAATACTAACAAATAGTTTTAAAATTGTTCAAAGATTAAAACAATCATTGTGATGAACAAACACATTAAAATGCAATGGATGAGAGCTGTCTGGGAGGCATATCAAGTAGCCCTCAGTTGCAAATACTGTTAGTTTTGTGTCCCCTTAAAGGTCTTAATGCTCGGCTAGAAAGAAATGGGTCCAAAATAAACCCAAAAGACCATTTCCCCAGGCTTTTACCAGCTCTAACATTTGGCTGATTGTCATATTAGCTGTTAATAATGGAAACAGGCTGTGATAATGAGTCACCATTCTATAATTCAGTATTTATCTTAGAATACATTAAAGACCATACCATGTATTACCATATACAGGAAAGGAAAACTTGCTCATTACAACTATTGCAAGTGATTATTAAAGTTGCAGTACATTTTCAGCATTATTTATTAAAGTTTTATTAATTTGCTACTGCTCTGTTGATTAAACTGAATATAGTACTTTCACATAATACAAACTATTTGGAAAGTTACTATTATAATTTTTGTATTTTCTTCATTAAATATTTGCCCTGGAGTTCTCCCAAATTTCACTCTGCAAACAGGTTTTTAGTAATAAAAAAAAACCCTACATGTGTATGATTCATAAATCATCAGATATTTATTTTAGACCTGTAGTTCTAACATGATAAGTCCCCCAAAGAATGCTTACGATGATGAATTCTGTGTTTTATTTATTAAAGCATAATGTTCCAGTATCTTTGTTGTTGCTGTTTTTGTCTTTTTTCAAGTTTTAAAAGTTTTATTAGCACATGTTTGCATTATCTCATGATTACATTGTGGGGAGTTGGTGCCTACACTTAAAACACCTTACTGCTTTTAACTTCCATTTTCTTGCAAATTATTACTTTGCTGTCATATTTTTTCCTGTCTCCAAATATTTATGGACGTTCATTCTTACAATTATGCTTTGGAAATACAATAGCACTGTTAAACACTGCAGAGAAATAACACACAAAAACGAGTATCAGTAATTGTTTCAGATGCAAATTCAAAGAATTGAGTGCCCAAATTGCTAGTTTTTTTTTTTTTAGATAAGCAAGAAATAAAGCAACATGGATTCTTTAAACACTACCTGGATGTACTGTATGGTATATACTTTAAATCATTGTGAAACCTAAATCAGATTATATACGTAGTACTTAGATTATTATTATGCGCATAAACACTGTTCAGTATCAACTGTCATAAATCATTACTCATCAGCAGTAAAGAGAAGACATACTCCACTCTCCCTTAGGATTTGTATCTGCAAAACAATTCTATGTCATACATAAAAACATTGATGATTGCTAGTTGACTTCTGCCCCGTGCACTAGCTCACTTGGGTGTTTTGGCAGCTGTGATTGCTAAGGATTAGAAAAAAATTCTTTGTTTTGTCTGAAAAAGCTTTAAATACGGGGTTTTTTTTGGGGGGGGGGGCATTGATTTTGTTTTGTTCAATCTTATACCCTTAATCATCCTCTTTAGAGGGTAATTCAGTAGGGAAAGTGGTAAATCAGGGGTAGGTTTTTCACAGAACCTTATGGTCTTCTGCATTTGGAAACTGTTCATCTAGGTCCTCCAGATCACAGTCAAATTTCCTGGCATAGAGATCACCTTTTTGAATGCTGAACATGAATAATTCATGTTACATAGGAATTGATTTAGCCCATTAAGGTTCACTTTGATTTACAAATTTTGTTTTATTTCTTTTCTTCTTTCATTTTTTGTTTTTCTTTTTTTGGTTTTTCTTTTTGTTTTTCTTTTCTTGTTTTTGTTCTCATGTTTGAAGGTTCCTGGGCAGATCGATCGCCACTACATGAAGCCGCAAGTCAAGGCCGTCTTCTTGCATTGAGAACATTATTATCACAGGTAAAATATTACACATAGCTTAACATAGGTCCCTTCCCATGAACATAAAACATTGTCAAAGCAATTCAATTAAAAAATAATATGCTTGCTTAAGTTTAATGGCTGCATTTTCATTTTATCTCACATATGACAAGTCAATAATTTCTGATTTATCTTTCAAATTCCTTTATAAATACTTTGATATAATTCTATATCTAAGTATTTCAGACTTCTCACACAGTATATTTATTAGTTGATACACACCTTTTAAGTAATTAATAATTTAAATTTTGTATTATTTATTGTAAACATGCCTAACTCTTTTCCAGGTGCACATCTAATTGCAAACTTAGTTTAGTCAAAAAATATCCAAAAGGGGTAATCAGATAAAAGGCCAAAACAATCTATTTTATATTATGATGATCTGTAATATACAGTACTATGAGGAATTGCCTTCGAAGGTGATAGAACACTCATTTCAACACCTGCTTGCTTATCAGACTCAGCAGAAGAAAACTGAAAAACATAACTTCCTGTTGAAACAGATATTAGTCCAACTTGGGCCCCATGCATTTAATTTTTAAGCTTCCCATTTGACTCAAATGCACACACGCTTCTAAATGTCACTTCACCAGTATCAAGGAGAGAGGAGTTTTCTCAGGTGGCTATAAAAAAAAATAAGTTGAGTCCCTTGGTTTAGACAGTCTTGCTAGGACCGAAGAGACTGCATCCTGGGTTGAGGTGACCCACAGGCTATCTGAGCTATATTTTCTCCTTTGTAAAATGAGAAGAGATGTTCCCCCAGAGCTCTTCAGTTCCGTGACAGCCATGTGACTGTTTTGTTTCTCTCATCTCTTGATGATGGAAGGAAAGAAACCTATAAAAAGGTCAGTCATTTCAAAGGATAATCCCAGGAGAGCTCTGTGAGAGGACAGCAGACCTGGGGCATTCCTCAGCACGTGTCTCCTTCCCTTGGATGCTGGCTGGAAGGACAGAACTGCCCAAGAGCCAGCTGTGAAAGGGAACCTCTCCTCCTCACAGGCTTCTGCTCGCTTGTCATTTGCTACGCAGCAGGCTGGGGCAGCTTCCATATCAGCCTGTTGGCTACAGCCTGAAACCCCTGCAGGGATAAAGGATCTTGAAAACTTCCACTTGGTAGTGGAAAAGATTTGGTGCAATTATTTTAGTGTCTGTTTTATGATTCTTCATATCCATTCTGGTTGATTATTTGGCCTAGAGATTATTGTAATTTGCAATGCCTTAGGAGGGCTTTGGCCTTGAAATTCTTCCTCTTATAATAGTGCATGGTATGACTGTCAATAGAAAACAAATTACCAATGATACTAAGAAGGTAAAGAATCTCACACATTGTAGGCTGGTATTATGAGTTTAATTGGAATATAATGAAAAGGCTTTTACTTAGGTTTGATTGAATGATAAAACAACATTTTCTATGCCTTGGGCACTGTAATAATAACTATGTTACATGCATCATCTCTTGTAATTCTTATGATAATCCTAACATTTAAAGGTTAAGAAACATTTTAAATTGCAGTGGTTATTGCATAATTCATCTAGAGCTTTAAACCCAAATCTGATTCTGTAGTCAGAATTCTTAACCTTACCATATAATTTAATCATGTCTATTCAGTGACAGAAATTTACAAAACAGTTTACTAAAGTTTATTTTTTTCCCCCACCCTGGACCAACTTATAATTATATATCTTCAATCAAAGCAAATCACTTAATCTATAAACAATGTTTAGTTTTACAAAGTAACAACAAAATAAAGACACCTCCCATAAAAAATTAATAAAGCCAAATTTAGAAAACATACCAGAATTTATTGAATGAAATATTTAAGATATTAGATTGAGGGAAGAGTGTGCTATAAAAATGGGATGAAACAGTTTTTGTTATTATTTAATTTGTAACATTTATGATTAACAGTGTGAAAATTTCAATACTTACATACAATGGGTAATGATCAAATGAAGGCAATTAGAATTTACATCTTCTTAAATTTTTCAGAATAATTTCTGATTTCATTAATAGATGTACATATTTAGGGAGTATGATGTGGTATTTCAATACATGTACAAGTTACGTGCTGACTAAATCATGCTAATTAGTGTTTCTACCTCTTTAAAATTATCTTTTTCTGGAGCTTTCCAAAGGAAATGAAATCAGCAAATCAGTAAATACCTTCACTCCCAGGTTTATTGTAGTATTGCTCACAATAGTTAAGATATGGACTCAACCTTGATGGCCATCAGCAGATAAATGGATAAAAAATATGATATATGTAAATATTGGGCACCCATAAAAAAGAATGACATCTTGTTCTTTGAACTAAAATGTATGGAACCAGGGAATATAATGTTAATAAGTCAGACAAAATAAGACAAATGCAACAAAAGCTTTAAAAATCCATTTGAGTGCAGAATAATGAATACTAGAGTCTGGGAAGAGTTGGGGAAAGACAGACTACAGGGCTGCTGGAAGAGAGACCAACACACAATTAGATAGAAGTAATAAAATTAGTGAATTTGATGTACAACAATCTATAATATGTATTAAGAATTACTAAAAAAGAAGAGATAAGAAGCTTCAACAACCAAAGGACTCTGACCTTTAACCTGGCCAAACCTGCTAAACCGGAAACTGGTTTGCCTAAAATTCTTAAATCTTAAAAATACATAATTCTCTAGTGATACTTACAGAGATTATGTTATATAACATTTTACTCACTTTTCCAATTTGTGTCATGTTTAGGGCTATAATGTAAATGCAGTAACCATAGACCATGTCACCCCATTGCACGAAGCCTGCCTGGGAGGTCACGTGGCGTGTGCCAGAATTCTTCTGGAAGCTGGAGCCAATGTAAGCACCTTTTAATGTTAAGTTTCACAACTACTGACTGACAGGCTCAAGCAGAGTTTTCTTCTTCTCTTCCTCAGTAGCTTTCAAAAAGACAGTAAGAAGAAAAATAAAGCCACTGAATCACCTCAGCCTTCTTAAGACATTCCAGTCATTATATAAATATGTAACATACTCGGTAAAAGGATCTCCAGTCATTGCACTAATGGGTACCATACTGCATAATAATACAGAATGTGCTTCAAGTTATTTTCTGCTCTCATGACTTTTGCGATATATAAGTATCTTTAGACTTATAATGTTTCCTAATTTTTGATAATTTTCTTTAAGTTCTTTTTTTGTTTTGTTTTGTTTTTTTGTTTTTTTCCTTTTTATTGGTACTGGAGATCGAACTCAGGACTGCCTGCTTTACAAGGCAGGCGCTTATGCCGCTGAGCTAAATCCCCAGCCCCTTTCTTTAAGTTCTGTCTCAGAAACAAAATGACTAATTTTACCATTTTATTCAGAAGTACAGTGACTTCATCATAGTTTTCATCACTAGTATATTTTTCTTATTGAAACTTACTCAATGATTTCATTTGAAACTTGAGTATCTTTTTTCCATAAGTTTCATGAGTCGCTTGCCTACTGCTGTGAATTATCTGCCTCATCATGTCTATCTTTTGAAGTCTTAAAGCTTTTCCTGTGGGTGGGTATGAACTCAGTATACTTTGTCTTATTTACTGCACATGTCTTCCCAGCTAATGCAGCTGGCAGACAGCATGGCTTTTGAAATTTCAAAACTAAGTTAATCATGTATGATGTATGAGTCTTATTCTTAGCTTTTGGGTTTGGTGTAGGTAAATGCAATCACGATAGATGGTGTGACTCCATTATTCAACGCATGCTCACAAGGCAGTGCAAGCTGTATGGAACTTCTTCTGGAGTATGGTGCCAAAGCCCAGCTAGAGTCCTGTCTCCCGTCTCCCATACATGAGGCTGCCAGTAAAGGTAATTCAGTTATGGGAGTAAATGAAGAGGAAGTGTGTGTGTGTGTGTGTGGTGGGGGGGGGTGTTGGTTTTTTTTTTTTTTTTAATGCATTGCTTCATTTCCATCACAATGAATTACACTTAAGGGGAAGCATAGTTTGTGATGAATGTGGGCTGAATAGGCACAAGTGAAAGGAATCTCACTGCTACTTTGTGTTGGCAGGTCACCACGAATGTCTTGACATACTGATATCCTGGGGCACAGATGTTGACCAAGATATTCCTCATTTGGGAACGCCTCTCTATGTCGCTTGTATGTCACAGCAATTCCATTGCGTCCGGCTGCTTCTTTATGCTGGTAATTTTCTTTAAGACATTTTCTTTTCTGTCCATACCCATAGTAATTATTTCTCTAACTCAGCTTCTTTTGAAATTGTATCTTACTGCTTTACAAATGTTCTCTTTATAAACATTCTCTTTTAAGTATATAACCAATAAAAAAGACTGCATTACTAATAGCGCTTGAAGCGCCAGGTAAATATAATCTCACTGTTTCACATGCACAGCATAGCAGACATTTGGGTATGTAAATAGAGTCTGAAAGCCCTACTTATAAAACTCCGCGAAATTAAAATACTCCAGCTTGAGTGTGATCTTTCTAAGTGTACATTACCTTTGAGCAAATACATCAGGAGTAATTTTAGGGATAGAAATTTCTTGGATAGTTTTAACTTCTAGCAACCACAAAAATGCATGCACTGTCCTGGATTTTGTACATTATGTCCTGTTTACATGGAATAATTTAATATCTTTTTCTACTGTCATGAATAACTGAGTTCCTCAAAGTTCAGCATCTATTATGATCTATTGAGAGCATAATGGTCTCTTCCACCATGCACCCAGGAGCTCCTTTAGGACAGGGATGATGCGTACACCCTCCATCATTTCTTTTCTTTATTACAATGCCTCTGTTGCATGTGCTACAAATAGCTAGAACATTACATAAATGAGCAAATGATTTTCTACTTTTTATAACAGTCATTTGACTCTATTCATTTTTAGTAAACCCATTTCTATGTGTTACTCACACTATCTCAGCTAACTTATAAATTCTTTCATGCAAGGAAGATCTTTATCTATTATTTCATTCTCCTTACATCTATAGTCTTTAAAACATGAGTTCTGTTAATAATTATTGATCATGATTTTCTAGTCATGTTCTCCCACAAATTTTGCATAACCAAGAGTTTATATTTTATCATCTATCTTTATTTTGCTAGAAATTTATTTCTTCTACCGCATATTTTTATAATGATTTTTTAAAAACTTTGAAAAAGTGCTGTAATTGAGTACTGCTGTTAGTAATTTAGGCTCTAGTCTCTCATAAAATTGATATAACCTGCTACGTTTATGATTTCTCTATGGAAATTTTGCTATAGAATGTAATTGCTTCACTGAACATTTTATATTTCTTTTTTTAAAAAATTGAAATAATTGCATTTATTGAAATTTGTAAGTAGTAGAGGTCCATAAAGGAACTCATAAAACATATTATTTCTTGTAGATAATCATTAATTTTACAAACAGGATTAGAAAACAAAGTTGAAAAGAACTTACGCATTTTTTTTTTTTTTTTTGGTGGCAGGGATTAAACTCATGACTTTGCACATGCCAAGCAGGTGCTAAACTTATGCATTTTTATTGAAAGGAATTCTGTGGTTTTGTAACTCTATTACTATTTTACAATGTTGAACTGCATTTACTTATTATACATGAGTGACTACCATCTGTCAGGCCATGCACTAAATGCATTAGATAACTTCTGGTGTAGGGTTGTATTTGTTAACATAAGCATTTTTTTTAAAGTTATTGTATATCATTAGTGATATACAGATATCACTAATGTATTTTTTTTTTCAAAGAAAGCAAAATTGTTTTTTTATTTTAAAGAGATTAAGACAACACAGGATATAACAAAGCAGATCAGAACAGAACAATGTAAGCAACACAGTATTTCACCAGAAGACAACCTGATATTAACAGTAGCTACCATAATATCTTTTTCTTTGAAATAGCTGAGCATAACTTCGTATACAGTAGTAGCAAAGATAACAAAATAGTATAAAACCATTCAAGACAATGAAAGTATTACATGGCATTCAGAACCAAATAACAGAAAATGAACAATGGCTACTCTATTATCTCATTTTCCATAGAAAATTTATTCACACTATCACATGTAATACAATCCGATAAGATACAACATGATAGAACCAATGGAAACAGAAGAACAAAAACATGGTAGGACTTCAGAGTAAGATGATATTAATTCAGCACTGGCTATTATAATGACTTGTTTTCTTCAAAATATCTGTTCATACTATCACAAATAATAAAATCAAACAAACCAGGATATACCCATTCCAACTAATGAAAGCAATCATTATAAGGCTTCAAAGCAATGTAATGGGGAATCATGATTACCATAAAGTCTTATGTTCTCTTATCATTTCTTATACTAGGGAGACTATACAGTACTTATACATGTGAGTTTGATTTATTTCGCTTATGAGTATGGTCTCAAGTTGCACCCATTTATTTATAAATATCTCAATGTGATCATTCTTTATAGCTGAGTAGTATTCCATTATATAAAAGTACCACAGCTTTTTTATCCACTCCTCAGTTGATGGACAGTTAGGTTGTTTCCAAGATCTGGCTATTAAAAATTGTGCTGCTGTAAACATGGGTGCACATGTATCACTGTGGTATGATATTTTCAGTTCTTCTGGAAATATGCCTAGAAGTGGAATAGCTGGGTCGAATGGGACTTCCAATCCTAGCTTTTTGAGGAATCTCCAGACTCACCTCCACAGTGGTTGCACCAGTCTACGCTCCCCTCAACAGCGCAGGAGAGTTCCTTTTTCCCAACAGCCTCTCCAGCATTTGTTGGATCCTGGCCATTCTTGCTGGAGGGAGAAGGAATTTCAGTGTGGTTTTAATTTATATTTCTCTAATGACTAGTGATGGTGAACATTTTTTCATGTGTTTATTTGCCATTTGTATTTCTTCATCTGAGAACTGTGTGTTCATCTCAGATGCTCATTTATGGATTGGGTCCTTCAATTTTGGGGATCTATATTTTTCTATTTGAGAGTTTCCATGTCTGTATTAAATTCATTGATTTAAACTACATGATTGAATAAGGGCAGGAAAAAGTACACATTTTACCTAAATGGCTCACATATTTAACACTGTGAGTTTCAAAAAACCAAAGAACATTATTGCCTTTGGATACAAGAAGAAATATAATACATACTTGATCATTATAAGACTTCAGTGTTTGATGAAAATAAATACACATGAACTTAATCATGTTCTGCTTATATTAGTGCAATTAATTTTGGAGTAATTTAAAAATTTATATATCTCCTCTTATTATGAAATCTTTCAAGCATATAGAAAAATATTTTACAGTATGATAGCAAGTGTGTGTACCATCTCTGCAGATATAAAAGCTTACGCTTTTATGTATGAAATATGTGCTGGATGTGGTGGTGCACACCTATGAACTCAGCACTTGGTATGGTAAGCCAGAAGGATCATAGCAAGTTTGAGGTCATCCTGGAATATGTAGTGAGTTTGAGGGTAGCCTGAATTATATAGTGAGGCCCTGTCCCCCCCAAAAAGATTTATTTGTAACATGTATATTGGGGTAATATGTGAAAGGTACACATGTTAATATACATGTAAATAGCTCATTTTAGATAGAATGAAGTCTCCTTTGGAACCTTCCTCAGTTGCCTTTCTTGCTCCCTCTCCAGAGGTAACTGATTCATCTAATATATTTGTTTGTGTTTATCGTCGCTCTTTATACATAGGTGCTGATGTACAGAAAGGCAAATATTGGGATACTCCTTTACATGCTGCTGCTCAGCAATCCAGTATAGAAATTGTAAATTTACTGCTAGAATTTGGAGCAGATATCAATGCAAAAAATACAGAGCTTTTGCGACCTATAGATGTTGCTACCTCTAATACCATTGTGGAAAGAGTTCTGCTTCAACAAGAAGGTAAGAGGGATAGATGCAGACATTGATAAAACACACAGACAAATTTGCCTAAAACAAATGAAATCACAAAGCTTTTTCTTGGCAGGTAAATGAAGATAATGACATAGTTTAGAGTATTTTTGTGAGAATAGAACATTTTCAATTTATGTTTTATCTATGAGCAAAATATGGTTATTTTAATTTTTTGGCATATCTAAGCTTTGTTATTCTTATTGTTTATCACATTTATTTAGTTTATTTTGCCAATGCATAATACCTAGTGGTTCTGGTATGAGGTATGGTCATGTATATTTGGAAAGATAACCAATTTTGTTAAGGTGTGCATGTTCTACAACGAGTTGATGAAATATGATAAGAAAAAATTTTCACCTTTAAGACTTTTGCTCCAAAACAGAATTTGTTAAACTTGGTTAAGAGACTATAAAAACTTCAACTTAAAACTAGACCTAACTTGAGGAAAAATGCATAATTTTATCCCCTTTTTGTACGTAGCACTTTTGGAGTTTAATTATATCTCCTTCAAAGGGAAGAATTTTTGTGGCTTTGAATGCAACAATAATTTCATAATCCTGAAGATGACAGTGTTTTCAATAACATGAGATGCATCTTGGTTATATGGTCTCAAATAAAAGCAATGCAAATACATAAATATTCATGGTGTACTGGTTTTACTGTCCTAGTTTAGTAAAAAGTTGCATAGAAGATTTCTTTCATGAAACTTACTGATTATAAAGTTCATTTTGATTTTATAACAAATATATTCCTGCCTTCTTGCAGCTACCCCAAGCTCTCTTTGCCAGCTTTGCCGACTCTGTATCCGAAATTGCATAGGAAGATCAAGATTGCATCTTATGGCTCAGCTCCAGCTACCAACATTACTTCAGAATTTCTTACAGTATCGATAAATAGTGAAATAGTTTAAAATTCCTTAAAAATCAAAAATTTCTATTGCATTTGCATAATGAATATTTCTTTTTAATCTATGCTAGGGTAAAGTAAATATGAAATTACATGGGGAAGCAGTAAAATATCAATATTCATTTTAAGTGTACTAGTTATTACTTTTGTTTTATGAATTTTTACTGTTTTAGTATTATAATATGTTTAAAGTATCTATACCTTATGGTCCTCTTATTGTTGAGGAAAAATTGAGAGATTCTCCGTTTTATATATATTTTTCAAAGTAGGAAAGAAAAACGTGAACTCTTACTAAAATTTTAATTTAATTGTAATTTAATTTTGTTTGTATTTCAAAGGTTCTGTGTTCTCCAAAGAATGGATTAACTTTAGTTTTGGCTCCTGTGTTTATCTCTGTGTTTTTAATATTGATGCAGAATATGAATGCCACTTAGACAATATGCAGTTTGAAATAAAGATGATTCTCATTCAGCAAATCTATGGTGGTGAATGTACACTTGTCATTGTAATGATCAGTTCATGAAGAGAAGACAAACTGCTCTCCTCTGCGCAGAGAACTAAGTCTTTTCTCCACAGTAAATAGGTCTCTTATAATAACTAGTAGACTGAAAGCCAGCGCTGCCCTTTCACCCCAAGATATTGAGAACATTCTCCACCTGCTAAGGCTATTTTCAGACCTCCTCAAGAGCAGCTTCTTAAGGTCTCTCTTCCATGTTTTCATGCAGTGCTCCGGGCCTTCTCCCATTTCAGAAATTCTCAAATAATTAATGGTGCCTGAACTGGAGAAAATGCCAAGCTTTTCAAAAATAGAAATAAATTTGTAGCTTACTTGATAAACAACACATTATGTATAGCTCAGGACCTTTAAAAGCCTATTTTACAGAACAGCTCAGTCTAATACATGTGTAATATAGGGAATGATGGGCACTAACATGGGTTTTATTATAGAATAACCTCATTAAAATAATTACATATTAAAGCTACTTTTTGCAGAATAGTCTTCTACTATTGTTTTCCCTGAATTAGTGGTAAAGTCTTAGATTCAAAGAGTAACACAACACATCTTTTTTGTTAGTCTTGTAGAATAAGAGAGGTAAACATCAAATATTAAAAACACTAAAATTTTATATACATTTTTATGACAACCACAGTATGGTTGTCCTATCAAAGAAACACTGGAATTTAAATGTAGCATGCCTTTGTTAAACTAAGATCATCATTTCTTGATATAAAACACTTTATTCAAAATAGTATTTTATTTATGAATAAAAGGTGATGGAAAATATAAATCACACGCTTGAATCATTTAAAGTCACTGTATTATGAACATGAGAGTATAATAATGTGGAACAAAACATAGATACAGTGCTTCAGAGGTCTTCTCATCCAAAATGTGTCCCCCACACACATACACTAAATCATGTGCGTGTACATCCTCCTACACCTACACCCAAGGGCAAAATTCCACACAGGCAAAGAGCAAAATAACTTACAATTTGACATAATATTAGGGCAATACAGTGAAATAATTACTATATAAAGGCAATATAGAAATATATACTGATTTTGGAAAGGAATGTATTTAAGGTCTAATTTTTATGACGCAACACAGATTTGATGTTTTTGAGAAATGAAATAGAAACACAGGCCTCTTCGGGAATGAAAGGTATCACATAATGCACTGCACTCAAATGGCTGTTACTCATCAGCAAAAATAATTCAAATATTCTTCTCTTTCATGGATAATCTTTTTTCTTTTTCTTCCTCCTTTCTTTCTTTCTTTCTTTCTTTCTTTCTTTCTTTCTTTCTTTCTTTCTTTCTTTCTTTCTTTCTTTCTTTCTTTCTTTCTTTCTTTCTTTCTTCTTGGCAGTCCAGAGAATCAAATCCAAGGCCTTTGCCCTTAGCTACATCTGTGTTGCTTTTTCCTTTTCTATTTTGTTTTGAGACAGGGTCTCTAAATTGCTAAATTGTTTAGATGAGGTTCAAACTTCTACCGTCATGTCTTACCCTCCTGGAGGACTGGGGTTCTAGGCATGCATACTGTATCCAGCTTTTTACTCTGCTTCCTCTTTCTTTCTTTCTTTTTCTCATTTATTATTTAGCATATTTAAGGCTTTATCTCAGAAACCTAGATAAAAACATTTCAGAGTTTTAATATTGATGAAAAACTTGCTCATAAAATTATTAGCTATCCATCTACTCTATAGCTATAAACAAGTCATGAAATCTTTATAGATGTTTGCTCATTTTTTTTAAATGATCATTTTCTTCCCATTTGAAATCTGCATTCAAATTCAGTGACTTTGAATAAGTAACTTTGCAGGCTTAAAAATATTTTAACACAATTTTTCATCTTTGAGAAGTATATATGGTGAGTATACATTTAATGAACCACATATTCATATGTATAAAGACTATATCTTGAATTTGTTGAGGGTAGACTTCTGAAATCCCTACTTCTTAAAATATTATTTTTTTAAGCTTACATAGCAGGTTCTTTATTTTTGAAATTTTCTCAACATGATGACCCAAGAAACGTGTTTTCATAATAGAGAAAGTGGATGTTCCAAGAGATATAAATGACCTGAATATATCAAAATATCAGCTGAAACCCTGTATAAGTTGGATTAATTCACTCTGCATCATACAAGCAACAGTAATTAAGCCTATTTCCCCCAAATGTGAGATATTAGCATTTTTGTACCAGAACATAGAACATGCTAGCGAATTATCAAATAATGGGAATTCCCAGGACTCAAAGAAGAAATGTACTCGATTCTTAATGACTTACTATCAACGAAGAAAGCTCACTGGGCTGGATATGGTGATACAAACCTGGAATCACAGGAGTCTGGGATGCTCAGGCGAGAGGATTAAGAGAACAGGTCCCATCATGGAGCATTGCATGGGCCCTGAAAGTTGTCCCAGGTGAGGTGTTTGGGACAGAAAATGTGGCAGGTGAGGACTGAGGGATAGCATTCCTTTCCTGCAGGAGTGGTTGAGGGTGGGCTGCATGGAACTGGCCTTTACATCTCCTTTTTCAAGGTGTGAATCTGTCTGAACCAGATCAAAGGAATGAAGGCAGGGAAGACACACTGTTTCCCATTTATAGGATGGAGTGAGCACTTTATTCCCAACTTTAGAAAGAATTACATAGGTTTTACGGCAGGAGTGGACGATGGTATGGATGGAGAGAGACAGGGACTCCATCTGTTTGTGTCTGGTTCTCATGATCAGGCAGGAGTCCTACAGTTTAGTCCTTCCTCAGAAAGGAGGCAGCTGGCAATTGGAACAGGACTTGTCACTTTGCCCTTCTCTCTTCACTTGTTTATTACGAGGATTTTGAAAATGAAGATGGAGACTTTACCAGTTCCATGTATGGCAAGGGGTTAATTCTATAATTACCCTCCCTGGGCCTCTTTCCCTTTCATCTTCATTAGAAGGAGAAGCTTGAAGGCAAACATCATGGCTTCCCGAGATTGAAAAGATGGGGCGCCCTTTCTGCAAAGGTGATGAGGGACCCTGCATTAGGTTTGCAAGGCGGGGATGCTGGAGTACCCCCCCACTGTCCTCATGCTCTGCCATGAGGGAGACGGTGCCACTTCTATCCCAAGCCCAGGCTCGGTCCTTGCCCGCCTCCATTCTCCTCTACTACCATATGCATCACTTCCCTCCTCCCCCGGAGAAAATAAAGGAAGCAGCATCCCAAAGGAACTGGTTAAGTTGGCAGAGGGGCTAAGCAAGCGAAGTCCTTTCTCCTCTTATCTGAATTGAGTTACTCACAGAGAGAAAGCTCCCCGCTCTGCTTCTGTATAACCTGCACTGACAGGAGTTGAGCCTAAGGCCTGTCCACGTCCCCCACACCTGTGACTAGAGGCCTTTCATCCTAATGCTGGTGTGCGGATTAGGGAGATCCCACCCACAGCATCAGTCACATCCTCAGGTAACAATTTCATCAGAAATGCACTTGCATTTGTTCCCACCGCCTGAATCCTTTGTCTTCTGTCAGAATTGTTTCAGAACTTAGGAGGGACATCAAGAGTACTTTGATCTTCTTAACAGTTTGATGGAGTAACTTCTAGGACTCATTCATTATAAACAAGAGCTTTCATTATTATTATTAATTGCTTTATGTTGCTGCCAAAAATGTTAATACAGGGACATAAACTGTTCCTAAAGATTGCAAAAACAAGTACACGGTTATAACTTTTCATTTCTTATCTTGGGACTCACTGGTCATAAACATAGATGCTGGATTCTCCTCTTTCCATCGCTTAAGGTAAACAGTTTGCAAAGTTCTAACACTGCCACCCCAAGATACCTCTTCCATCCGCTGCTCCCTGGTGATGGCTCCCTGTGAAGGCAGCCCTGTCTCAATCCTATGCTTTTCAGAAAACCACATTTACCCTCAGCACCATACTTAGCTCAGAAACTATGCTCTCCCTATAGTAGTATATTTCTACAAATTTGAGTTAATCTAAAACAGGGCTTCTCAATCTCATTATGGTGACGACCTGGGACTAGATAATTCTTGTGATGGCCTGTCCTGTGCACTGGAGGATTTGCAAAAGCATCCAAGCCTCTCCCTGACAGATGCCAGAACACTGTCCTCCAAAGTTGTGATAAATAAAATGTCTCAAAAAATTCATTGCCAAATGTCCCCCAAGGGGGAAATTATACCCTCAAGAACCACTGATGTGGAATAATCCCCTCAGTGACTTCATTAGAACAGACCTAATCTCCCTGACGTGCAAATATCGAAAGACAGATTTGCGGTAGGGGGAGAGGTGAGAAAGGGAATTTGCACTTACTGTGAAACACCGGGACAGAAATGGCCACATAATTGGTAATTGGTCCTAAGCATGGCGTCCCATAAGCTGCGAGGCCTCAGCCACTGCTTACCTGTGCAGTCAGTGCTCAAGTCTCAGGCTCTGAGAAAGTGGTCTGGCTAGTGATGTCTCCAACAGTGTGAGAGGCAGGCAGCTGTGAAATTCTCTGTATTATCTAGGAGGTACCTGTTCAACAATCCTTTCCCCAACTTTTATACTAGTGAAAGACACATTAATTCTTAGGGAATTCAAACACATGAGAAAGACAAAATATTTCCTTAACCACCTCCTAAATTTTGAGGTATCTGTCTCAAACTGAGGTCAGGAATTCACATTATTACATTTCTAATTATTATGCAGAACCATGCCCATTGAGGACCTATTCACACATTACTTTAGATAAGACATCCCTCCTTGGAAAATAGAACTCAGTTTAATTCTCAGACAAATAACCTCAGCCTAGGGAATAGAAGGTAGTCATTTTATCATTTTCTTATTTCAGTTACATTCTGGTTAGGAAAAAAAAATTAGTGGTATTGTAAAGAGTCTCATAATTTTTTTTTCTTTCATTGTGTATAAATAAGAAAACTTACAGGATCAGCACATAAACACACAAGCACGCATGCATGTACACAGGGTGTGCACAC